AAGAAGAAGAAAAGAAACCCATAAGAGATCTTAATTTTAAACATTTTCAACCATTTTTCGTATATTTTATTTATGTACGAAAAAAGAATATATATTTTATTTTGGTCAAATGGACATAGGAAATTGCCTTTTTGACAGACTAATAAAAGAAAAAGCAAACCCAAAAGAGCTTTTAATTTTAAACATTATCCACCATTTTCCCACATTCCTCAAGTATACATTTTATTTATGTACGAAAAAAGAATATATATTTTATTTTGGTCAAATGGACATAGAAAATTGGCTTTTGGCAGACTAATTAGAGAAAAAGGAAACCCAAAAGAGCTTTTGATTTTAAACATTTTCAACCATTTTCCCACATTCCTCAAATATACATTTTATTTATGTACGAAAAAAGAATATATATTTTATTTTGGTCAAATGGACATAGAAAATTGGCTTTTGGCAGACTAATTAGAGAAAAACGAAACCCAAAATAGCTTTTTGATTTTAAACATTTTCAACCATTTTCCCACATTCCTCAAATATACATTTTATTTATGTACGAAAAAAGAATATACATATTTTATTTTGGTCAAAATGGACATAGAAAATGGGTTGGTTCAGTTTTTTTTTTTTTTTGGTAGCTAGAAAAAAATTTCCTGTTGCCGGAACATGAACCCGGGTCTCTCGAGTGAGAGCCGAGTATCCTAACCAACTCGCTGGTTTCAGTTACTCAGATGATCATTTAATTTTCTGGTACAAGAATAGAAAACTACTGCCTAATTAATAACCTGACTAAAAAAGAGAGAGAGAGTAATTGAAATAATCTGCAAACATAATTCCTCCCAATCTCCTGTGAAATCATGTGATTAAGATAATGAAAACGTCACTAATCCAACTAAAATTCAACCCTATAAGTCAGTTGGCAATAAAATCTTTTCACCTAACTGGGGGCAATGAATATATACGTATTGTTGTCATATTCAACAAGTTGTTGGATACAATATTTGAATTTAAAACTTTTAAAACCTTAGTATAAGTCATTGATGGTATAAGCATATCCAATTCATTCAATAGTTTTCAACTTTAATAGAATAGACGTGACAAAACTTTATCAATTTCATTGTGATAAGAAGAATCCTATACCAAATCTAGTCACACAAGAACAAAATCAATTGGAATCCAGCAGAAAAAGGTGAGCAGTGTTTCGAGAATTCATTAATTTGCACTTGAATGCATGCTTTGCTATGAAAAGGCTGTATTGGTACGACGATGTCTGTAGCACATTGTTTCTTAAATTCTCTCACTCATCTACGTACACAACACAGCTGACCTCGTACAATTGGACGTGGGGACCAACCTGTAGCATGATAAATATATTTGTACGACTTATGTGGTCCTGGTGTCCATGATCATGTGAAGAGATGAAGCCAAAATGGCTAGGTTCCCACTTTGCTGCCATGCTGTTGGCTATGGAAAAAATGAAATGTGCAATCGAGGAGAGGGGATCGAAAAAGAACAAGAATAAGTTGCTCGTACTATGCAATAGCGCAATACGCGTCGAAAGGTCATAGGATGAGTTTCTAAGTGTCATTGGACATATCACAGGTTTTTAACCCTTCCACCTTTCAATTATACAGCTTTTGATGGAGGAAAGGATCCATTGGCCCCATCTCCCCGCCCTCCCCCCCTCCCCTTTCTCTTCAAGAAAAGGACTGTCCAATTTAATAAGGAGAGAACCCTCCAATAAACAGTCTTGGAAATTAACTGTAGCTAGAAGAGAACCAGTCAAACATACACTAGGTTTGGTCGTTTTCTTTCATCACTAATTGGTTATCGCTACTCTTGGAGCCACAATTTTTTTATGTACAACAACCTTATAACCCCTTAAAAAAACTAATTTTTGAAGCTATTGAGCAAAACATTGAGGGAAAATTGAATTAATAGATTGTCTCTTTCAATTTAAACTTTTAGGTGAAACGGTTATTTACAGCATTTTTTTATAATGTAGACATATCATAAATTTGACATTTAATTTTATCTTTATTCATAGCTTTCCTGCCTCTTTCACTATTATACTAATGGGGATAGGGATATAAATGGAACTTTTGTGGTCCTCACACATGATTCTTCTCCTTTTCCACCCTCTTATCTAAGGGTCCTTTTTATAGTCTTCTTCTCCTCTCCTCCCCTCTGCAAGCTCCATCTCACCTCCCCTTTGTTTCACAAGTTGTTCTCTTTCTCATCGGGAAAAAAATGGGAACGAGCAAGGTTGACGGGAAGAGGAGCTTGAAGGAAATGACGGAGGATGAGGAGGAGGAGGAAGATGAAGAAACCGGGTTTCTAGGGTTTGGAGATGATGATAAGAAGAAGAAAGGGAAGAGAGGATCCAGCACTACTGCCGGAGGGTCATCGCAGCCTACTTGCCAGGTGGACGGCTGCACTACTGATATGACTGAAGCCAAGCGCTACCACCGCCGCCACAAGGTATGTGAGTTTCATGCCAAGGCTGCGGTTGTCCTTCTTGGTGGACTTCAGCAACGCTTTTGCCAGCAATGTAGCAGGTTGGGATTTCAAAACCCTAATTCTCCATTCATGTTTTGCAACATTTCTGATTGTCTTTGATACCTCTTTGAATCTATAACTTAAAACAGATCGATACAGTGTTTTAAGGACAGAATTTTGAACTTAATTTCTCACAGAATATGTTGGAAAGCTCATTAATTAACTCCGCAAGGTACTACACTTATATAGAAATTCAAATCATAAAAGTGAGATATGCGCTTTTTGTCTCAACGCTTATTCAAATATTAAATAGAGATAACCAATAATTGCCAATTTGAGGTGTATGATTTTTCCATCTTTCGATTAAATAATGTTATCTTTTTCTTTTTTCTTTTATATTTAATTAGTTTATTGAAGTGCAATCTAACCCTAAATTTTTTTTCTGGATTATAACTTGACTATACAGTATAAACGACAAAATAACTACTAAGAAAGAGAGAAAATGAGCTGGATATCACATACTTATTATGAATAATTGTAGAAACAAACACAGAATGTGCCAATAAAACCCCACTTCTATTCAAAATTTCAAAATCTTATCTTCCAAATGTATACAAGATCACATAGAGACTAATTAATAATTCCTAACTTAAGCTATATTCCAAACCTAATTAAGCTACTTAATTAGACAAGCATATGTAGCAATAAGTTGGGGTTGGTCAGCCGTTGGGGCCTTAATTATATATTTAGAGATACGATATTTATAATCTCCATAACTAACAAGTTCAAAAAAAAAAAAAAAAAACCATATTTAACAATGTTTCTTGTATAATAATTTATATACTGTAAAGTAATTTCATATGAAAGAAGTTAATCATAAAGTTCAAAATGTCATGTTGTATAAATTACTATCTAATTAAGAAAACATCATAACTCTATCATTTTAATTCTTCTCCATAGTGTTATAAATCATGACAAGTTTGGATCATTTTATTCATCCTTCACTGTGATTAATTAATTTCCATTTGTCATTATTGTGTTCCTTTTTGATACATATATTCAGAGTAACATTAGATGCGTCCTAGTAGAGTTCAGAAAATCAGAACTGCAACTGCTTAGTACTATTTACTCATGCATCTGTTCCATCAAAAAAGAGCTGAAAATTAATTAAAAGTAAAACAAAATTTGCATTCTACTACCATTTTTAGTCCTTCATTAATTTGCATGTTTCAATTCGATTGGTGCATGTCATTTTGTTGCAGGTTTCATGAGCTGTCGGAGTTTGATGAAGCTAAAAGGAGTTGCCGAAGGAGATTGGCAGGACACAATGAGCGTCGTCGGAAAAGCTCAGCAGATTATCATGGAGAAAGCTGAAATTATTAACTAGAAAGATTAAGGCTTAACTCCCTTGGGTGACACTGCCTCTTCCCATATATGAGTTATGATTGAAACTACATGTGATCGGATGGCTATGCTGCTCTCTCTCTTCTGTCAATCTAAGTTTAATTTCCTTAATGCACTATCACTATCTATGTTTATGGTTCGCTGATAGAGTTTGCCTACCTTATTTTATATCAACAATAAAATGACAAGGCACACATATATATATTCCTCATCTTTTGAATACTGCTTGTTTCCTTAAGTATAGGGGGTCACAAAGAATTCTATTATTTAATAGTTGGTGTTTTTCAATCCGATTCAGCTCAGATTGCTAAACACTTCTGTAAATTTAATATACCTACTTGACCTAAAAGAAAATGATATTAGGGTTTGATATCTCGTCGAAAACAATCCGGCACGTCAATTGATTACATATTATAGTTGATAGCAAAACCTTCTCCTCATGATAGGGTACAGCCAATTCTGGCATTAACAAAATTCATGAGTTGATTTTAGGGCGCCAACTCCAGAAGCCTTGTTCATTTCTAGTTTCGGATTCAAAATGGATATTAACGGGTGTATCTCCCCAAAGTTACTTTTTTGTAACCAAATTTACTTGCATTATTTAAGAAAAGCAGAAATTCAGCTAAATGTGTAAGAATTCCAGTCAGACTCATGATAAAACTTACCCATCCTCTGCAAGACAGCAGGACAGTTAACTAGTCCTTTCTGCGCAGTATGCATTGAAGGCAAGAAGCAATTAACATGGGAAAATAATTGCAAGATTCAAATGGATCACTGTTTTTCTTACTCAACCATGGTATTGAATTACAATGGCACATAAATTACTCAAGGCACCATTCCACAAGTATCATGCTTTGATATAATCAGTAAAACCTTTTGGTTTAGTTCATGTCAAGAATTTCTGTGGATTTGATCTTGCCAGTCACAAAAATGAAAAATAACAACAAATAATCAGAAACCCATCGTAATAAGACAGACTACCTCTCATAGTGATGCTTAATTCCCATGAGTTTCATAGCTAGTTCCCAGGTGACAATTGCAGCTGCGTTAGCAGGAAATGCTCTCACTATTGTAGGACTGAGACCTGTGTAGCATCCCTTTAGTGTAGCCCTCTGGTAAATCTATAAAAAGAACCAAATTAGACCATCCCATTTTTCTTTTAGTGCAATTTTAATCTTCCAATCCCAAATTCCTGAAAGAAAGGGCAGAAATTAGGATATCATACTGAATTTAAAATCTGAAAAGGATTTCTTGAATGACTGTTATCTGAAGTTGTCTGAATAATGGTTTTTGCCACATCCAAGGGTAGAACAGCTGACCAGAACTGGAGGAGGCCAAAAAATGAAGTTTAAAAGGCAATACAAGGAACACATAGTAATAGCCTGAGGGGCAAGATTGTCAGAAGGAGCTTACAGCTACACCACCCAGACCACCGCTCAAAATTCCAATTCCCATATCAGTCAGGTAGCTCTGTTCCAATGAACCACGTTTGAGCAGTAAATGCATACGGTAACGAACATTTTCATAAACACTGAAAAAGACAGCGTTTCCTATGGATTCTCTTAACAGTGTTGTATAGCCCCCACGAAAAATGCCTGTAACCTGAAAGGTGCTCCATCAGCTCAATATCATGCATGCATGAAGTTGACAGTAAGCAGACTTTTTCTCACCCCTTCAGTTTTTATGGTTTTAATTGCACAATCTAGAGGACTACTGAATCTACTGGACGTTGGAACCAAAGAGTCAGTGCCTTGAACTTGCATCCTACACTGGAGAAGCTAAGTGTCACCAGAATGCCAAGCAAAACAACATTGTTTATACAACAACAATTTTTAATATCTGAATTAAATACCCTCTTACCTTCACAAGCTCTGAAGGACATAACACAAAACTGATAATGGCTCCAGCAAAGGCTGCAGAGGGAATTATTACTTGGGCCTGTGGCTCACTGCTCTGAGCTCCTTCCTTCATCATCAAGAGAAAAATGTAGAATATCAGTGTGCAATAAACACAAGAAATGTTATAAGAATATAAGTCAGCAAATTAGTTAGTAATTGAGTTTATGACCAAGTTTCCACAGATAGAACAGTGCCTCCAATTTACTTAAATACAAACCTGAAGTGCTCGTTTTGTTTGCGAGTAGATGCCAAAAGCAAGAGAACTTTCAAAAGCCACCCCAATAAAAGATGGTGTTGCCCCCGTATAAAGTCCTCTAACCTGCCAAAGGTAACTCCCAGTCAGTTAACAAGAGAACACTAAAATGTAGATAGAGGGACTGAGGGGGGTGGGCAAGTTGTACATCCACTTTACATGGTACATCTTAAAATTTATGAAGTTTTATATGTCTTTATGTGCAACTCAAGATGAATAAGATATATTTTGCAATCCACTCAGCTCTTAATTAATGTCATTAACCAAACCCTGGTTTAAAGATCAACACATGGAAGCAGTGCATATAAACACTAAATAAACATTCAAATATTCTTGAGTCCAGTCAATTTGCCCAATACTTTACTTAAGGATTTTTAACAATTTGATTTTTCTAGGCATTGGCAATTATGATCCATACATATCAGTAACAAAATGTGAAGTGAGCTAGGATTTGCTAGAGTGTTTTAATAATGAAAATGAATGAAGCTCACATAAAAGACGGGAAGCACTTGAAGATCTACAGAATAGGCTACCCACTCATAACATTAGAGGCAGGAGCCAGAGAGAGTGGTAGAATAAACAAATGACATGGAGTCATGGACAAATATTATGGACCTCACCATTTGCAATGACATGGAAATAGATGATCTCCAATATATTTTGCTGCTTTGACTCATAATTCATTAGAGATCTCTAATGCAGTTGGGTCATTACACACCCATAAGGACATTATACCTTCATTCTAGGATATCCAGCTCTACTAATATTAAACTGATATTCACATATATAGTAAAAAGACAGGTTACTAATTCCAAAATTAACAGCATATGCATGACATCGAAATCTGAAAACATTAATAGAGGTCCAAACTCGAAAAGTATGGATATTTATCTGTTAAGAAATTGAACAAGGATTGTAATACCAAGAATACATTGAAAATTGCACTAACTGTTGGGTTATGGGGACCATGATGGCTGACAATACTCAAAGGTGAAGTTCCTTGATACATCACCTCCAATAAGAGAATATGAATGTATATACATTTGCGTTACTAAAATATGTCATGGAAATGCGAAAGAGAAGGGACTGATTTCCTTGTTTCAAACTCTTGTTATCAAGAATGACCAAAGGAATCACCTTATATCCTGAAGCCCTTAAAAACCAAACGGCTTATTTGGTAGAAGTGGTACGCTGATCAGAAATGTGAACATACAATCACTAAAGTTTTATAACTGGGCAATAATTGTAACATCAGCCAGAGTGATTAGAAACATGCATACTATAAGAATCAAATTAGTTCCTCACAAAAAGGGCTCAAGACTCAAAAGCCATACTCCTTCAGTTGCTAGGATCCTAGCAGCACAATGTAAACCACTCTTGTATTTAATCCCATGTGCTTCAGTATTGTATTTCTGCAACTTCACCTGACAAAGAATCCACATATATATACAACAGAAAGGTTACTCATAAAAGATAACTGAAACCATGAATTATGCAAACAACAGAAACTTAAAAGACAGAGACCAGATGGCATTTTTCTAGAAATCAATCCAAACAACATCAGAACAAATGTGTTCTTAGTTGAAGTCTAAACTCAATTGCATTGTAACAATAAAAAGCATCAAACTTGCCAATGAATGGTAGAAATAAAACAAAACCCATTAGTGGGAAGATACTGAAAATTACCTTAACAGTGTCAAAGGGGTGGCCGATGAGGACGGTGGCAACACCGGCCAGCAAGCCCGCTCCATATTCCTTGTAACCGGAACTCTCTCCCATTACCCTTTCCTCGACTCAGCTGAAATGATTTGTAAAGCTAAAGAAACATCGTGATCGGCGTTTTGTTGGCAACTCCCTCCAGAATTTCAGTGGGATTGTTATCCTGGAGAGAGATTTTGGGTTCACGGTACTCACTACGCAGGGCCAGATTGCATATCCCACCATTCTACTTTATTTTATTTTATTTTGTTTTTATCAATTCCTTCGTACATATATGCATCCGGTATTGGGCCCAAAAAAAAGGCCTGCAGTTCCCCCTTTTTTTTTTTTTTTAATACTTATTGTGGTAAAAAGAGTTTAAAAATTATTTTTTTAGTATAATTTGGGCATTAAAATTAGAGATAATTGTATATTAATCTTCACTACTATAAAAAATTGATAGGTAGATTTAGGCTTTATTTAGTTTAATATGATTGTGATTAA